TAACTCCCCTGGGCTTTAAAAAAAAATGTTGTTAAAGCTTTCGGCCCAATGTGAGCACACTCTTCAGCCCACGACCCCTGACCACCACACACACCAGCTAACCATGACAGGGTGACTTGAGAGCACTTTGGCAACGATCAATAAAAATAAGGCAGGTAATAGAAGGCCAAGCCAATAAAATCAGTCCTCCATCTGATTAAGAGACATATCAGGGCTCCACACACACTACCTGAACTATACACACTCACAAAACCTAGCACATTGATACTGGTAACTCATTCTCATGAATAATTTAATTTTTTTCCTACATGTGGGTATATAGTCACACACACACATGCAGACACTTGTGAAGGTCTAGCACTGAGCTTGTTTGGTATCAATGAGAATAGCTTTCTGACAGTTACATACACCAAAAAATGGTGTAATGTAATCAGAGATGGTTTTGATGAAGCAATGCTCCTGCAGAGACAAAGACTCACACCATCATGTATGAGTCATCTTCAGTTTTAAGACTTTAGAGAGAGGAGAGTGATGGGAAAGATCAACACAAGAGATGTGATGCAAGAGGATTCAAAGTACCGCCACATCACCAGTGCACAGCCAGTCGCCAGGAGGCTCTGAGTTGTTTTTAAAGTACAATTTGTAGTTCATCTCCAATGAGGATGTTAGTGGGGACAGATTTTACAGCTGTGTTGTTGTAACCTTATAATGAGCAGTTATTTAAATAGGGAGCAGGTCCTCTTCCACACAGTCTGCCCAGCATGAACAAACCAAATGCTGGCCCTAGATAATGACTTTTACGTTTTCCACAAGTTTTGTGGCCAGCGGAAATTAGCGGTATTCAGTTGGATGCAATCTGCAACTTAAACGCTAGATACCACTGAATCCTTTAAAACACCAAATTAAAGAAAATATTCTTAGGAGAAATGATTTCCATCCCTCCAGTAGAGTTCAGAGACTTGTAGAATTAATGCCAAGGAGCACTGAAGCAGTTCTGCCTTCATGTGCTGAAACACTTAATGTCGTTTTTCCCTTCAATTTGTCACCCGTCTGGACATGACTGCCACCAGCGTGCACCTCTCACCTGTCATATACTAATGCTTTATGTACATCGTTCAAGTGGGAACAGGCACGCAAACATGTCTGACTTGACCCCTCTCTCTTTACAGGAGTTCATCGAGGATGTCCTGGTGTGATTCATGCTAGAGTGCCACATTCCTGAGCAACACTGTTCATGCAAAGACACATTCCTCCTGCTTTTTAGAGCAGTCTGTGTGTGTGTCTATTGCAGTGAGTTTACTTTTACTGCTGTGCATTACATCCACTGACTCATAAAAGGGTCATTACAGTAAAAAATAAGTTATGCTCATGTTTGGACAAGCTGTTTTGAAGAAAGAGTTTCTCTCTTACTCTTGTATATATCGTGGTGCGGATGTACCATTTTATGATAATTTTGTTGTCTGGGTGTATCATTATCAGTGCCCTTGTGTGTGCTCATGCTTTCTGCGGTGGTTACCGTTCTGTTTGTACATGTCTTGCTCTTAATTTGGAAGTAAGCTCTGCTGCAGAAATCTCTAGTGGTCCCAGATCGGCGCCTTGGGTCTCACCTCTGGCTTCTGCAACTGGTGTAATTAGCAAAGTTTTCTTTTGTGTTGCTCTCTTCATTTATGTTTTGGCTCGCCTCCCACAGTATTTGTAGTCTGTCACTGTTAATGAGCGTGCGTATGAGCACACAAAGCTGCGAGGAGACATCACACACCCACTGCTCTCTTTGCAGTTTTAACACTCCATTAGATAATTAAGGCGGAGGGGGTGTTTTTGTAACATTTCAGATGAGACATTACCATTAATTAGTGTCAAAAGACACTACTGTTTTGCTCAGGCACTTTAGTACAAAGGGAAACGATCTCTTTACCTTGTCATTGAAGCACTAAATGGATCTCTCTCTCTCTCTCTCTGTTTTTTTTCATAGGCAGAGGCTGCGAAGAGGAGGCCCATCCAAAGAAGAAGAGTTTCGTCTTGGCATCATGTGATCTGCGCATTCCCTAGGAGGCCTCTGTACTGGAAGAGTGAATCTACGCTCCCTTCACTGCATCACAACCACTAGTACCACTATCACCACTCCTCATCAGAGTCACCTGTTCTTGACTCAACTTGCCTTCTGTCTCTTTCGCCCCCTTCATCTTGAAGATAAGGAATGGCCGTGCGAGTTTGCAGCTTCCCTACCGCCTCTCGCAAATAAAGCCTTTCAGCTTGTCTCACAATACCAGAGAAAGGAAGGATAAAACACTCTACAGTCCTCTTTTATACTTCTACCCTGTGTCTCTTTTTATCTTTGTTTCCTTAGTAACGTAGCCCTGAACACACACATTCACTAAACCAACAGGATTTTTGTGTTGGTGACATCTACAACAGCCATTTTAAGGACAACAGCACCCAGGTTTCCAAGCCATAAGGAAATTGTTTTTACAATCTTCGCTTGGCAGTCTTTTGGAATATCTACTCATGCAGTGTCCCTATGGGGGATTAAATCAGTCCAGGAATCCACACTGACTCCTCTTTTTGTTAGAGCTTGTTACGGTGTTTTTTTCAGTGAGGTCTGTTTGTGACTGGAGGTGGACTTGAGGCATCATGGCTGGGAAGGGCAACCCGGTGCCGGGCCCCCACCTCAACGGCTTCCCCATGCCCACCTACTCCTACTTCTTTCCCCACATGCTAGGCAGCCTGTCGCCCCCAGCCCTGCCAGGACTGCCCCTCAGTGGGTACAGCACCCCGTCACCAGCCAGTAAGTAAACTTAAGACTTATACCCTCTTTGCTTTCTCTGTACTGGTTCACGTTTCAGATGTGGGACTGTGCCATGCTCTGGCTATTGTGCAGGTTGGTTGTTGAGTGACAGGAGGTGGGGAGAGGAGGTTTTACTTTCTTTTGTGTGTGTGTCCTGGTTTACCTGCGCAGCGGTGGCCCCCTGTTTCCCGTGTAGCTCCCCTACTGCAAGTGTGTACATACGCTTGTGCCTGTGAGACTGCTGGTAAAAAAGGGGCTCTTTCATCTCACCCTTTTTAGATCATTCCTATTTGAAAGACGTGTGTGTTGGTAAACAGAGAGCGGCAACCACACACACGCACACATACACACGCCCACATACCCACACACCCACGTTGCCTCCAGCGCTGTCCTTAATTTACAAGCCCACACACATCAGCACACACACATGGAAATGTCAGTGTAGATCACAAGGAAGTGAGGCAGGACAGCCAGAAAGGAGCATTGTTTATTTGGGGAACACAATTTGGCAAGTGTTTCTGAAATAAATCTCTCAAAAGCTATCATCATAGCCAGGCTTCATGCTACGACTCCTTTATACAATCCATCAAACGCTTCAGAACTGACTTGCAAAGTTGCTTGTTCAAAGTCAAACTAGGTGAAAAGTACTTTTTGAACAATGAACAGTGGTGAAAGAAGCATTCAAGTCCTTTCAAGTAAAAGTAACAGTGCTACCATATAAAAATATTCCATTATAAGTCCTGCATTGAAGATTTGAACATCTTATTTATGTATTAAAAGTAAAAGTCCTCATTATGTACAGTGTCGTCCTTCAGAATGTTACATTGCTGATGCATTACCCCATTATTATTTTAATGTTCAGGTCAGCTGTTGCGTAGTTAGTTTAATCTACAACAATACATCATTGCATTCTGATTATATTTTTTGCACAATAAGAAAATCTCCTTTCATCTGGCCATGCGATGAGATCATTTCAATATATATCCACATGTTTCAAGAATTTTCTGGAGGTGAACTTTAGCACCTTGAAAGACAGATTGCAGCACTGAATGAAAGAAAAAATGACACCACATACTGGCAGCTATCACCATGTCACACACTGAAACAGAATTTTACACAAAAAGTTTGTGACATTTTAATTTGAATTGGAAAGTAGTTTAAGTGATCTCACTGCACTGGCAGATTTTTCAGACTTTAAGGACTCAAAAACGATTTATGCCCTGTGTACAGTATGTAACATTGCCCTCTAAAATGTATTGGACTAGAAGTATAAAGTATAATAAATAAAGGTAAATGCACCACCATGAATGAGTGCGAATCAGAACCCCTAAAGTGTTCAAATTCAGTTAAATATACTCGCACAATCCCTTCATCTGACAGCAGACTGAGGAACATCGACAAACAGCTAGATAATCAATTAAACGGCTGTGGCAGCAGCAGAAATATGAACTAAAGGAGTACAGCTGGTGGTGCAGACGTACAGCCAGTGTGTGTGTATTGGTGTGGACAACGGCCTCGCTCTCACAGGTTCAGAGGGGGTCAGCGTATTGACTTTCTATCTGCTGGAGTTTGCGTTGGCAGTCGGCATGGAGGGAAGTGAAGAACAGTTAGTATCCAGCCCAGTCACTCCCACTTCCCCAATACCAGATACCCCACCTCGCTCCCGTCAGATTCCTCTTTTTACATTGTTGCAAGTGTGTGTGTGAATGTGTGTTTCTGAATATCTGCATGTGAGTGTGTGTGTGTGTGCGAGTCGGGCTGCTCTCCCGGTGTTTGCCACGCGGGGCGGCAAGGTTCCTTCCCTTTTGCCTGGACAAACATTTCCTGTCTGTAAACACTGGAGAGCCAGGGACACCACAGCTTCCTGACAGAACACACACACACGCACGCACACACACTTAAACATAAACACAATCTTTGCCCTTCATGCTGGCTCACTTTCTCTCACTCCTGCTCCTCGATGCATGCAGATAACTGCAGGCATAATTCTCGCACGCACACACACACACACAGCAATAGAAATGCATATGTCTCCTTCTATATACTTAGACACACTGTAACACAAACACACAAACCTCACCCCTTTCTCTTCCTCCTCCTACCCCCCTCTGTGGCAGATCATTTCTCTCTCCCTCCCTCTTGCTCAAACACCTCTTTTTTTCATTTTCTCTCACATTTTCACACAAACACACACACACACACTCCAGCAAAGCCCTCACCAACCCCATTCAAAGCTGAGCAGTGACGAAAGAGAGAAAGAAAGGCAGTGAGTGCCGATGGAGGGGGAAGAGCGAGTCAGTTTGTTTAGAGCTTGAACGAGAGGGATTTAAAGAATGTCACATTGGAGGCAAAGAGAGCCGAGCATTGGACTTTATAGATTTCGGCATGGCAGAGCGTCCATTGTAGGCTGAATGCACATGAATGTATAAGTATTTGTTGGTGCACTCGTCTCTTTGTGCTTTCAGAGTGAATAATGTATCTTGTGGGAATTGTTGGTCTTCCATGCTATTGTCCAGAAAGATAATGTTGTCCTTGATGTTTTTCAAGGCCACGTTTTTCCATGCAAATACATTGTTAGCTTAAATTCTTTAGCTATGCGCAGTGGAATTATAACTCAGATCTTTATTGCAATCATAATTGAGACTGAAGGACACTCTGATGTCTTAACACAGGCTGCCTTTACGCAAGGTCCTAACATACATCTTTGTATCTCATTGTCTGGAATGCTTTGAATTATGGTTTCCAGCAGTTTTGGTATATTGCATTTCTTTTTCTGCACAAAAGGCCGACTGTAGCCCATGTTGTTACTTGTAGAAGAGGTGAATGCCTGTATTTATTTATCCCTGTTCTGTCTAATCACATACGATGCAGGTATAAACTGCAGATGTAAAAGGTTGTTATTGGCACTTCCTGACAGTGGATCATGTTGAGTAAACAGTCAGGCCTTGCCTTTTTGTTTTAATGCTGAACTCATCTGCCATCAAAAGCCTGCTTGCTAGACCTCCCCCTTTTTTTCTCTGTCTTCTCTTTCCCCTTCTGGTCTCTTTCCTCTGTCCTCCTCCACCCCGTCCTCAGAGCTGTCCAGCTCCTCTGCTTCAGCCTCCTTTAGCAAACCACAATACACCAATTATTTGGACCAAGCAGAGCAGAAGGGTTAATCAAGGCCTACAACACACACTCTCTCTCTCTGGGTCTCTCCAGCTCCAGCCTCCTGGGTTATGTCTTCACATCACATTATCTGAAAATCATCAGGTTAGGTTACGCACCGGAGCAGATCAGTTGCAGATATTGATATTACATTTATTGCCTGCAGCTTTATTAGTTAACTGAATATTATCACCATGGATTGATCACGCTCACGCGCCCACAAACGTGCACGCTGCTGTATTGAACACGGCCTAATCTCCACATCCAACAGAATGTGCTCAATACACGCACACTCGCACATACACGTGCGCGACTTTCATTAGTGTTTTCGATTAAATCCTTTGCGCCACACGCCCGTATGAATATGGAACTCTCTGGCAATAACACCTCAACTATTGATCCCGTTGTTATCATTAAAGCCTTCCGCTGTCTGTCACCAGCTTTAACACCATGCTATTACATTAGCACATTGTTATGAGGGATCATAATGAATGGAGCCAGCTTGCTACCTGCTGCCACGGCGGACTAATTGGCTTTTCCCCACAGAGCGCTCTTGTTTCAGCAGCCGCAGTAATTGCTTGGTACAGGAGCGTTTCCTAGGATGGCTAACACACACGAGCACCATCTCCTCTGACTTATTAGTGGGCTTTTATGGCATTTATGAATGTCCTTTTGGGCCAGTAGGAGAAATATGAAAGGGTATTTTCAGACCTCAAGGAAGCTTGTGTGTGTGTGTCACCTATCCCATGAAGCAGCCCACAATGGAATGCACTGACCATGAGTAAATATGGATATGGTAATGTTGGGCAATGTGTGTGTTTGCCTGTGTGTGTATGTACTGGTTTCTGGACAGACAGGTGGTTCCTCTCTGCCCCGGTGGTCTGCAGGAATCAAGGGGGCATGTCAGTACACTCCATGGGTGGCAAAAACACACACACACACACACACTTTCACATACACACGGCTCGTGTGGTAGGGATAAGGATAATGACAGTGAGAAACACTTGTGTGCTCCCCTTTGGCAGCAATCCAAAGTGTGTGTGGATATGACACACACATGCAAGCTATTGACTGGAGCACTTTTTCTATCAGGTACCAGCCATTAAGCCACTTCAGAAAGACACACACACACACACACACACACACACACAAAATCAGACTTGCACACATAGGCAGAAACAGTACCTCTGGGGACCTGGTTGTCATTATTGGAAAGCCATTTGAGGGGTGCCGATACTCTGATGGCGAGGATGCAAGCTTATTAAACATGGCGTGTAAAACACATCTAGCATGGCAGCACAGCACTCATTCACCCTAGCTTAACGACCTTGTTAATTAACTTCAGAGCGCTGGGAGGCTGAAAAATGAGCACAAGGACTATCCTATTCTTACATTTTCAAAGAAGTAATTGATGGTACTTTAAGATCCTTGGTTGCAGGTAGCTGAAGAGTTGTATTCTTTGTATTAAATCAGATTGCAAATAAGTTGATTCCAACCAGTTGGATGCATTCTAAATATAGAAAATGTACTGAATTTACAGATGCGTTTTGTTTGCCACGCGCTAAAATGTCACACAGCATGTTGGCTCACTGGAAAGGCTCTGCTACACTAAAGGGGAACCTTAATTAGCAGATATCACAAATTATTAGTGTGATTGTGTAGAGCATTTGTTGTGCATTTTACAGTCTTTTTAGACACTTGTATCACTTTAAACAAACATTAAAGTCTGACTCGCTACATGCCCATCCATCCCCCCCGACACCCTTACTTTCTTCTTTTCCTGCTCAAACAGCACATATTTGACATACATTGTGAGGTGTGAAATCAGCCAATATGAGCGTAATTCCTTGTGG